ACACCATCCCTGAGACAGAAAGGACAAGAGCGTTAGCGACAATTCAACATGCAGCAGAGACAACATCGGCAGCAGCAGAGACAACGTCGGCAGCAGCAGAGACAACGTCGGCAGTAGCAGAGACAACATTGGCAGCAGCAGGAACATCAACGGGAACAGCAGGAACTTCACCAGTCGCTGGTCTTTCAACGGCACCACTCCTCGACGGCACACCACCGACACCCGCGCAACAGCTCAACCCGACACGACGAGAAGTCCACCGAAGCGCGAACGTCACCGCCGGCTTCTACTCCAACTCCGACACGTACCGACGCTCGCCCGGACACCGCGCCGACGAAAGCACCTGGCACGCAAGGATGGGACACCCGAGCAACACAGTATTAAATAATACGATAAGAGCAGGAGTACTCGACAAGGACTCACTACTACTGACTGATGGAAGAGAACTTCAACGCGTACGTGGAACGTGTTTCACCTGCCCTGAAGCTGACTTACCACATCAACCGTTCGCGTCTCACCATAACCCAAGCGCACCAGCTTACGCGCCACTCGAGAAAGTGTACAGCGACATCCTGTACAATCGCGAACCGGGGCAGAACGCATACAATTACACCATCACGTTCATCGACGCCGCGACACGTTACGTTTGGCACCTGAATCTTCCAAGCAAGGATATGGCGTTCGAAGCGTTCGTCGCCTGGCTCCCCGTAGCAGAAAGGGAATCGGGCGTCAAACTAAAAAGCTTCCAGTCAGACGGGGGAGGAGAATACACCTCACAAAAGTTCAAGCAGTACCTGGCAGAGAAAGGAATCAAGCGGCTCATTTCCCTTCCCTACGCCCATCAACAGCAGGGTGTAGCAGAGAGGATGAACAGGACCCTCCAGAACACCATGCGGAAATTGTTACGTGGCATGCGGCTACCCTCTCACCAATGGCCAGAAGCAATGGACCACGCCGTGATGCTGCACAACTTGCTTTCTTCGTTGTCACTACCGAACAACGCATCACCGCACCTGCTGTGGACAGGAAAATTGGGCAACACAAAATTGTTGAGAGTCTTCGGCTGCATGGTACAGTACCGACCCCCATCTGCACGAGCAGGACGATTCTCTCAGCGCGCACAGTGGGGACTACACCTGGGCATCGAAAAACACTACAACGCATGGCAGATTTTCGACGTCGCGACAAAAGAAACAGTGGCAGCACGTGATGTCATTTTCTACGAGCGGCTCACACTGCAGACGTACCTTGCCAACCTGGACAAAAACCGAGACCCCACAGGTGGCTTTCGAGGAGACCGAGCCTTCGCTTCGGCAGAAAACGAAGCTGACTGGGACGAGCAGAACGTGGAAGGAGCCTCGGAAGAAGTCGGACCCCTCCCCTACTGCTCCGTCAACGTACCAATGGACGACGAAAACCCACGCGAAAGCATCAACGCCGACGCCTACTACTATTTCGCTGACAACGGTTACGTTACACCTGCACAAGTCAACACCGACGAAGCAGAACGCGTCGGACCTAATTTCGCACCTGATCCAGAAGCGGGAGACGAAGCAGTTTATCCAGAGGATACTTCACTCCCTCGCTACACACAGAGTGGGCTCCAAATCCTTGGTCTCGTCACCGCAGTTCACGGCGCAGCCATTCCTAAAGAGCCTGCGACAGTTCAGCAGGCTCTGGGGGGGGAGCATAAGGAAAAATGGCGCGAAGCCATGGACAAGGAACTGAAGGCACTAGAGGAACGCAACACGTGGAAAGTAGTTCCCATCGGCGTAGTACGGAACAAGACCATTCTCACCGGAAAGTGGGTCTTCCGTGTGAAGACAAAAGCTGACGGCACCATCGATAAATTTAAGGCGCGCTGGGTCGTACGCGGTTTCGACCAAGAGCACGGACGCGACTTCACCGAAACCTTCGCTCCGGTCAGCCGCCACACCTCACTACGCATTCTCCTCGCAATCGCCGCCATGAAGAAGAAGAAGCTGCGGCAAATCGACGTCGCGAACGCGTTTCTCTACGCACCCATTGACGCAGAAATTTTCGTGGAACTACCGCACGGTACCAACGGGGAGCCGAACCAGGTCTGTCAACTGCTGAAGTCGCTCTATGGGATTAAGCAAGCTCCGCGGCTATGGCAGCAGTATCTGCACGCCCGCCTCATCCGCATCGGCTTCAAGCAATTACCTCACGATCAGGGGATGTACTGACTCACGAAAGGCGCAGACTACATCCTGCTAATCGTCTACGTAGACGATCTCCTCTACATCGGCTCAACTGACGGCATCACTACCTGGTTCGAAGGGGAGCTGCAGCAAGATCTCACGCTCACGGTCTCATCTACCGTCACTCAGTACCTCGGGCTCAACATCCGGGAAGAGGAAGATGCGATCTACCTCAGCGCCGCGAAATACGCCGACACCATCGCCAAGCGCTTCATACTTACACCAACCGCCATCTCTACACCGTACCGCTACACGTCAGGCAACAACAAGGAAGGCCCCGTTCTACTCAAGCCCGCCGGCATACGCGACTACCAGAGAAAGCTGGGCTGCCTTCTCTTCGCAGCTGTTACCTGCCGACCAGACCTATCGTACTCTGCAAGCCAACTCGCAACCTATCTCAAGAGGCCCGAAGCGGAACACCTAGCGGAACTCGACCGCGCTCTTCACTACCTCGTTAGCACCCCAACAATCGGCCTAACCTACCACAAGAACGCAACCACACCGACTAAGTTAATCGGCTACGTCGACGCCGATCACGCTGGCGACTCCGACAACAGGCGTTCGCGCACCGGCTACGTCTACCGCCTCGAACCTATCGGACCTATCTCTTGGCAGTCGAGCAAGCAGGAATTAATCGCTCTCTCGTCAGCTGAAGCAGAATATATTGCACTCTGCTCAGCCACCAAGGAAGGACTTTACCTTCGCGAGCTGCTGGAAGAAGCGAAGTTAGCTGAGTTACCCAACTTCACCCTGTTCTGCGACAACCAGTCGGCAATTCGCATCGCCAACAAGAACGGCTTCGCGAACAGAACGAAACACATTGCTCTACGCTACTTCTTCGTGAAGGACGAAATCGAGAAGGGGAGACTCGAACTGTCATACTGCCCCACGACTGAGATGGCAGCTGACTACTTGACCAAGAAGCTCGGAAAGCAGAAGTTTGAGTACTGCATGCTGCTGACTGGACAGAGCCACGTCACCAGCAGCGACACTCCAGAAGCGAAGGGGAGTGTTGGAAACAATCAGTCTTAAGCGCCTCTGTCGTGTCGAAACACCAAGACACAAGCGAAGCAAAGCATATCGAGGCACCAGCGAGTCAACCCTCGGAGGTTGAAGTAACCGCGGGAGGTTACGCGAAAGTCAAAGGTCAGCGACCTTTGACCTGACAAGTACAGCGCGACAGCAAGGACACACAACTGACTCGCTACAGAGCAGTTGCCCGAGTCGTCACTGTATCGAACCGCAACAGCAACAGTAAAGTAGTTACAACCGTGTCTCTTCGTATCCCTTGTACTCTTATATAAGCTTGTATCTCTTTGCTTTAATCAATCTACTTTGCCCTCACATACTAGCGCAAGGTGGTTCACAACTCTTTAATTAACGCTTCCGCTATTACAACAACTCTACCCAGAGTTCACCCCTGCAAAGATCCTAAGGGCTTTTTCAGCCCAACAGGTAAAACCTACCGTACCTATGGTGTTCGTATTGTACGGCACATGTGTGAACAAGGGTTGGGGAGGGGGTGCAATAATTTGTGTTCTGTCAAATTGTAATTTGTCAGTAAGACCTGTAAATGTGATGATGAAAGGGATTTTGAAAGCATGCAGACATGCCAGTGCACATTGGCTGCACATATTCTTATCCACCTTGGGCGTGTTCCCGCAGCCTCTTATCAGGGAAACCTCTTGGCAGACTCGTGTCACACCACTCTAGTGCACGTACGTAATCACATTCGATCGCAGTGAAACGCATAGAACCACACAAATTTGACGAGGTGTCTGATAAGAGGCCGTAGGAACCTGCACTTAGTACGGCATTTGGTACTCAGCTTGTATGAGGTGATGTTTGTCGTATAAACTAGCTTACACTATACACACAAGAAGCGCGGCAGATATTCTCACCGACCCACAACCGCGCGTGCCATGGATGGAGCTATTATGAAGCACCCCAAAAATGGAGACTGGCAGGCAGGCAGTGAACCATAGCTGCTGTCGCCATAAGCCATGGATGTGCGTTGGATTGGATGGTAGGCAGGCGGGTAGCATGAGCGCAGGCGGACGCAGAAACATTGCCACCTGGATAATACCGTATGAGAAACACCCACGCTCCATGAGTGCTCAATGCTCATCCCCCTCATCCTCCTCCTCTCATCCGCCTCCTCTGCCTCAGTGTGCATGCAGGAGCATCCATGCGTACCCTCGCTCACTCACACTGCCCTGCTTTGTATACCGTAACGTCATAACCTTTCACTCAGTCTCAAAAGGGAGGCCATTGCCTCAGGGCCCCCACCACCAGCCCTGGCGTGTCTCAAATGAGAATACGCCCGTTATGTGCTCTGCCCTGCCTTCACTCCTGCCAGCACTCCTCCGGCCTTTCTCCTCCACACGCACCACCAGTGCCCGTTGCTAGCGATGCTTTCCCTATTTCCTGTACATTCCGCTTCCTGCCTCCCTCCTCTCCCTGCGCCCCCATCCCTCTCCTCCATCTCCATCCTCTCCTCCTTCCTCTCCTTCACTCAAACCTCCTCTAATCCTACTCTAATCCTTGCTAGTCACTCCACGCTCTGCTCCCGGCCGTGGGCTTGGCCTTGTGCTTCACAAGCGGCTGATGATAGACCCAAGCACCACACACGCACACACATAGACACACACGAACAAACCCCCCTCCCCCCCCCCCCTCAACCCCCCCCCCACCCCCCCACACACACACACGAACACAGACACAGAGGCAGACACAGTCACACACATGCCTCCCTCAGCACCTCCCCCTTCACTGTTCTCATGCTCTGCTCCCAGCCGTTGCCTCTGCCTTGTGCTTCACGGGTAGCTGCAGATCCAATCTAAAGCAACACCGTCCACTCTCAAAAGCATACCCCAGTTCCCCCCCCAGAAGATGCACCAACCGCCGACACAACCGCAGCGCCATACCCTGCAACCCTGTCGCCGCCACGCCCCCCCTCCCCACCAGCACCTGCACCAGCGGCCCCGGCACGCCATCCCCCGAATGCGCCACGGTGAATCTGAACCGTTCAGCCGACGGGTGCCCCTGCGGGGGCGGCACATCGGCGGCTCCTCTCATCGGCGCTTCTAGCTTGAGCTCGATCCAGCCAGTCGGCGGGGTGTGTTCAACAGCCGTGCGAAGACACGTGGCAAGCACTTGTTGGAGCCGTGTGGGATCGCCGAATACTCGCACTCTCATGGGGCTGGGTACTGAGCAGACTAGTTGTTGCCCCTTGGCGATCGCTGCTCCCGACGCCTGGCTTAGGGATGCGTTCAGCACCGAGACTAGGGAGAATTCCACCCGCTGCACGTCTAAATAACCCTCTTCCACCGCATTCAAATCCGCCATATCGGCCAGAATCGTTCTCATCTGCTCTTCCAGCGCAGCGGCGGTTTCCAGCAGCTGAACCTGGTCGGGCGAGAGGCTAGCAGAGCGCTGCAGAGACAGGCGGATGAAGGCTAGCCCATCCAGGGGCGCTCGAAGGCTTTCTCTGGCAACGTCTGATTGGGCTATGCGGGCCTGTGCGGCGGTCTCGGCGGCGGCCTGGGCTTTAAGGGCCTCCTGCACCTCGCGGTTCATGGAGTGCAGGAAGCAGAAGACGCCCGTTATGCGCCCATCCACGTCCGTGCGCTTGCTCACTGTTAGCAGCACCTCCTGTTGGGTACGGAAGGGGGGTGCGGGGTGGGGGGTGGGGGAAGAGCAGGACGGCAAAGGAAGGGTGCAAGGCAAGAGCTGAGTGGTTATGCGCCCATCCACGTCCGTGCGCTTGCTCACCGTTAGTAGCACTTCCTGTTGGGGAGGGTGTGTGTGTGGTGGGGTGGTGGTAGGGGAAGGGGAGGGGAAGGAGGATAGCAAAGGGTGGGGAAGGGGGAAGCAGAAGACGCCCGTTATGCGCCCATCCACGTCCGTGCGCTTGCTCACTGTGAGGAGTACCTCCTGTTTTGGTGGGGGGGGGGGAGGACAGCAAGCGGTGGGAGCGGGCGAAGCAGAGCTGAGAGGTGGGTGGAGTGTGTGATGAGAGAGCGCGTGTGAGGTGATGTGCCCATCCGCGTGCGTGTGCTTGCTTACCGTTGAGGAGGGGGGAGGGGGGGGGGGGAAGAGAAGAGGAAGTTGGCAGTGGGTGAGGGAAGTGGGTGGGGAGTATTAAGGAAGAGTGCAGACAAAACTGATATTTCTACAATAGCACTTGCCCTCTCACCTGCAGCTTCCCGTCTCGTGCGAAGAACAAGAACGGATGGTTACTGGTGTCCTCATGGCCCTCCATGGCGCAGTTCACCACAATCTCCAGCTCAGTCATGGCATCCTCGTCCCTCAGCATCAGCATCGCCATGTCCCACTGACCCACTCATTTCCCTTGTGGTAACCACCAGTCCCCACTCTCTCACCTGCACCTTGCGAGGCAGTTCGTAAGCCAGTTTTTTACCTGCAGCTTCCCGTCTCGTGCAAAGAAGGAAAAGGGGTGGTTACTCGTGTCCTCGTGCCCCTCCATGGCGCAGTTCACCACGATCTCCAGCTCAGTCATGGCATCCTCGTCCCGCAGCATGAGCATGGCCATGTCGAGCCCAAACACCTCCCCCAGCAGCAGCCTCCCCAGCACGTCCCCGCGCCCCAGCCCCGTGAGGCGGCTCATGCCCGTGTTCCACTCGCTGCAGATGCCGTACTCGTCCATTCCGAATATGGGCGGGATGAGCGGGTTGGGCGAGTGGACTATCGTGCGGTAATCCCCCTCACACCGGATGTACCTGGGGGGGGGAGAGAGGAGGAGAGGGAGGGGGGGAGAAGGGGGAGCAGACAGGATTAAAACTTCTCAACATACAAACGCCTTTCAACACCCGGCCCCCTTCATTAACACCAAAAGGCCCCTCGCTGGTCCATGACGATCCTTTGAGTGGTGATGTCCTGCCCCACAGCACAGAGACACACGACCACCCACAAGCACTGTGTGTGAGCAGCATCCTTTGATGCCACTCCTCCCTCCCTCCCGTTTCCTAATCGATCCAGCAGGCCCCTCACTGGTCCATGCCAATTCTCTGAGTGGTGATGTCTTGCCCCACACCAGAGACACACACCCAAGCCAGAAGCAATATATACGCATCCCTGCTACCACTCCTCCCTCTCCCCCCGTCCTCCTCCATTCCTTCCCCATGCTTCTCACCGATCCATGACGATCTTCTGAGTGGTGATATCTTGCCCCACGAGGCACACGCCCACGATCTGGTTGTGAATGTCCCGATTGGCACAGCTGTTCACCAGCATGATCAGCACGCCCGCCGGCACCCCGCTTCGCCACACCTTGAGACGGATCTCCACATCTGATTCTTCTCGACCTTGTAATGACTGTTGAGGGAGGTGTGGCGGTAAGAAGGGGAGGAGGGCAGAGCATGATCAGCACCCCGGCCGGCACCCCACTTCGCCACACCTTAAGCCGAATCTCTACGTCTAATTCCTCTCTGCTTTGTAGGGACTGAAACGAGGAGAAGAGGAGAAGAGGAGATGATAAGACGGGGAGAGAACGATGAGTCGAAGACAGGCAGAGCACACACTCACGTTCAAGCAGACACACCTAAGGGTCACCAACAACAGCAGTCTCTGCGTGTCCGCCTTGCTCTCCTACGCACCAGCTCCTGTGTGCTCACTAATCTCAGCCAAAAAAATACGCTCTCCAGCACCACGCACACACTCACTGGCCCCACTCCTCTGCCCAAGGCTCACCGACACGAGCAGTCTCTGAGTGTCCGCCTTGCTCTCCTCCGCCACCAGCTCCTGTGTGCTGTGAATACAGTCACCAGAACCAGGCACACCCTCACTGACACCAAGCAGACCAGGCACACTCACTGACGGCACCTATGCGGCTATGCCTCACCGATACAAGCAGTCTCTGAGTGTCCACCTTGCTCTCCTCCGCCACCAGCTCCTGCAGGAACGAGCGCCCCATCGCCTCCTCCACCGGAACGCCTGCACAGGAGAGAGATGGAGAGCGCGTTTTGAGCAGTGGGGGCAGGGGCAATGCAGGGAAGAAAGGCGCATATGAGTTATGACTCAAGCACCAACTTCTGCAAACTGCAGGAACGACCGCCCCATCACCTCCTCCACCGGTACTCCTGTAGGGGGGATGGAAGGTGAAGAGAAAGGGAGAGAGGCAGTCCTAGAGCACTAGGTACTTGGCAGGTTGATGTGATTTTGCTGCTTTGAGCGTAGGCTGCCAGTTTAGACTGCATGTTTTGTACCTACTGGTTCCTGCATGTGTTGCCTGTACCTTGCAGCATATCAATACAAGGACTGCTTGAGAGGGGAGGGGAAAAAGGGGAGGGAGAAAAAGGGGAGACTGACTTCTGTCAGGAAAGGGGAGAGCGAGCATCTCTTTTGAGAATTCGCACGGCCTCCTCCACTGGCACGCGTTTTGAGATGTCCCAAAGCGTGTCTCACGGCCTCCTCCACTGACACGCCTGCAAGGGACAAGCGTTGCGGCGGGTGTCCAATGTTTCTCTCGTTCATTCATGCTCCCTCATGCCCGCAGCTCGAGTATCTGCCCATACTGCCCACCAGTGAGCTTGGTAACCTGCATGCCTCCCTCTCAAACCCCAAACACCAAATCCTGCTGTAAAACTGCTCACCGGTGAGCTTGGCGATCTGCATGTTCCAGCCGTTGATCTGGCCATTGCGGTTGACGCCCAGGATGGGCACGGTGGCGGTCTCAATGATGCGCACCGTCTCATTCGCCACCTGGTTGATCTCGTCCATGCTCTGCAGTCGGAGCTCTGCTACTCGTGCTAGCATCAGCTGCCGCCGTTTCACCTCGTCATGCTCCTGTGGGGATGGAGGACAGGGAGGGGATTGGGGAGACGGCCAGGCAGGGGTAAGGAGGCCACAGGGCAACGAGGCAATATGCATGGGGCACCGTCTCATTGGCCACCTGGTTGATCTCGTCCATGCTCTGCAGCCGCAGCCCCGCCACCCGCGCTAGCATCAACTGTCGGCGCTTCACTTCATCATGTTCCTGTGGAAAGAAGGGGCAGGGGGGGGGCAAAGGAGCGGGCCAGCCAGGGGTGAGGACACAGTGCAAACTGCAACAAGCACGGGGCGCGGTCTCGTTGGCCACCTGGTTGATCTCGTCCATGCTCTGCAGCCGCAGCTCTGCTACTCGCGCTAGCATCAACTGTCGGCGCTTCACTTCATCATGTTCCTGTGGAAAGAAGGGGCAGGGGGGGGGCAAAGGAGCGGGCCAGCCAGGGGTGAGGACACAGTGCAAACTGCAACAAGCACGGGGCGCGGTCTCGTTGGCCACCTGGTTGATCTCGTCCATGCTCTGCAGCCGCAGCTCTGCTACTCGCGCTAGCATCAACTGTCGGCGCTTCACTTCATCATGTTCCTGTGGAAAGAAGGGGCAGGGGGGGGGCAAAGGAGCGGGCCAGCCAGGGGTGAGGACACAGTGCAAACTGCAACAAGCACGGGGCGCGGTCTCGTTGGCCACCTGGTTGATCTCGTCCATGCTCTGCAGCCGCAGCTCTGCTACTCGCGCTAGCATCAACTGTCGGCGCTTCACTTCATCATGTTCCTGTGGAAAGAAGGGGCAGGGGGGGGGCAAAGGAGCGGGCCAGCCAGGGGTGAGGACACAGTGCAAACTGCAACAAGCACGGGGCGCGGTCTCGTTGGCCACCTGGTTGATCTCGTCCATGCTCTGCAGCCGCAGCTCTGCTACTCGCGCTAGCATCAACTGTCGGCGCTTCACTTCATCATGTTCCTGTGGAAAGAAGGGGCAGGGGGGGGGCAAAGGAGCGGGCCAGCCAGGGGTGAGGACACAGTGCAAACTGCAACAAGCACGGGGCGCGGTCTCGTTGGCCACCTGGTTGATCTCGTCCATGCTCTGCAGCCGCAGCTCTGCTACTCGTGCTAGCATCAACTGCCTCCTCTTCACCTCGTCGTGCTCCTGAGAGGAGAGGAGAGGGGCATAGATAGAGTGGTGGGGATTGGGTCAAGCGGTGCCGAGCACAGTGGCTGTGCAAAGCAAAGCATCGAGTTGAGGGCTCTGCGCAGCAACCATTTCGACATCCTCCGAGGGTTGCGAGCGCACGCGCGTGCACCGTCTCGAGGAAGGCACGCCTTGAAGGAATCCTTGCACCCCCCCACATCTGGTTACCAGCTCACCTGTAGAGCGGAGCACAGAATCAAATGCAGGCTGTGAGCAGCAACCATTTCGTCATCCTCCTCCAGGGCTGCAAGCGCACACACGTGCACCGAATCGGTAAAGCTCCTGAAGGACTGCTTGCGCCCCCCTTGTGTGGTTCCTGGTTACCCCCAACCTAGCCACAGCCCACCCACCTGCAATGCGGAGAGCAGGATGAGCTGCAGGCTGTGAACAGCGTCCATCTCAACGTCCACCCAGGGCTGCGAGCGCATGTGCACCGTCTCGAGGAAGGCACGCCTTGAAGGATTCCTCTTCTTGCCCCACCCCCCACACAGCACAGCCAACCTACCTGCAGTGCGGACCGAAGGATGAGCTGCAGGCTGTGAACGGCGTCCATCTCGACATCCTCCCAGGGCTGCGAGCGCATGTGCACCGTCTCCAGGAAGGCCTTGAAGGATGTGCGCGGGTGCATGCGTGTGGGGTCGTCCACGTCTAGTGGGTCGTGCTTCTCGCCTCCCCACTTCACCTCCTTGGCTGCATGCGCGCGGAACCTGCAGGAGGGTGGAGGGAGGGAGGCAGGAAGGGGGGGAGAGGGGAGAGGTGGTGGGCACAGCCACTCAGGTCAGCTGGGCACAGCATACCAGTCAACGAGGTGAAGAAAGAAGCACAAGCACACACCACACGTGCTTACGTGTAATTCAACCCACCACATGAGGAAGTCTTTATCGCTAAACTTGACGGCTATGAGTCCGCAGACCTCCTCGCCCAGGTCAGACGCGTGCGGGTAGCCAGCATTGAGCAGCGAGTCGGTGTTGAACCCCGTGGAGTCGCTGTGATGCGTCAGCAGCCACTCTGCTATGTTCAACACCTGGTGGTGTGATGGCATTGCATGAGAGTGGGTGGGGACAAGGTGTGACTTTTAACACTGGTGCGTCAGTAGCCAATCCCCTGCTATTTTCAGCATCTGGCGATGGCATTGCACTGCAAATGAGTCGGGGAGGCGAGGAGGGGAGGCTGGTGAATGCATGTGGGGGTAGCCGGCGTTGAGCAGCGAGTCGGTGCTGAATCCCGTGGAGTCGCTGTGATGTGTCAGCAGACACTCCGCTATGTTCAACACCTGGTGGTGGCATGAAGTGGGGAGGGAAGGAAGGGAGGGGGTCAATACACGTGGTGGATTCACTGTGGTGAGTCAGCAGCCACTCCGCTATAGTCAGCACCTGGCGGTGTGATGGCATTGCAGTGCAAAACACATGAGTGCACGTGAGAGGGGGGGAGCAAGCAAGGGAGGAAGCTCAACACATGTCTGGTGAGTCGCTGAGGTGCGTCAGCAGCCATTCCGCTTTGTTCAGCACCTGGTGATGGCATTGCATGTGAGTGAGTGGGAAATACAGGGAGACATGGAACGGGAGAGCGCGAGAGGGTGGTGCAGAGACATGGAGTGATCGCTGCGCCGACTCACAAGTCAGCAGCAGCCACTCGGCAATGCTCAACAGCACTTGGAGGGGACATCTCTGAGGGCCCCCACAGGGCACCAAAGCGCACATACTAAATCCACCTGGGGCTCATAGGGTGTCGAACCTGGGCTCCAGCACCGCCCATTGTACAGCAGTGCGGCCCCGTCACAGTGAACGAGGTCGCTGATGTTGGGCGTCTTGGTGACGAGGGCAACGGGCGGCTCTGAGCTCACATGGGGCACCAAAGTACACACACGCCACACACCTGGGGCTCAGATGGTGTGGATCCCAATCTCCAACAACGCCCGGCATACAATAAAGCAGCCCCATCGCAGTGAACGAGGTCGCTGATGTTGGGCGTCTTGGTGACGAGGGCAACGGGCGGCTCGCGCATGAGCATGTCGCACAGCAGCGTCTGCATCTTCAGCGCGTGCTTCGCCTTGAGCTGATTCGCCAGGTCCATCTCCTTGCTCAGCTGCACCGCAAACACCTGTGATAAAGGGAAGGGGTGGGAAGGAGTGTGGGACAGTGTGGGGGGGCGATAATCAATATGGGGGGCCACATGGCATCTTGAGCGCGTGCCTCGCCTTGAGCTGATTCGCCATGCCCATCTCCTTGCTCAGCTGCACCGCCAACACCTGTGGAGTGAAGTGTGCATGCAGGGGTATGCGGAGGGTCAAGGCAAGGGGGAGTGTGAGTCTGCTCTGTGCTTCGCCTTGAGCTGATTCGCCAGATCCATCTCCTTGCTCAGCTGCACCGCAAACACCTGTGCAGTGCAGGGGGGAGGGAAGGAGTGGGGTAGGGCACCATGCAGGGCGAGCAGTGGTGGCACACCACCAGCCAGGTTGGGAGTGAAAGGGTTGGAGTGGAAGACTTGGGAGCGGAAGAGTTGGGAGTGGAAGAGTTGGGGGAGTGGAAGGGTTAGGAGTGGAAGGGTTAAGAGTGGAAGGGTTAGGAGTGGAAGAGTTGGATGAGTGGAAGGGTTAGGAGTGGAAGGTAAGGTAGAAGAGGAAGGAGACAAGCAGGAGGGAGGAGGGGAATCAGGAAGAGTAAATGATTGGCAAGGTAGAGGAGGGGGGGAAGGGTAGGGTGTCACCAGGACGAGGGGGGAAGGGTAGGGTGTCACCTGGACGAGGAACTCGCAGGCGGAGCGGGTGGGGTAGGGCATCATGCAGGGCAAGCAATGGTGGCACACCACCAGCCCCCACAGCCGCCGTCCAGGCTCGGCCCTAACCGCCTTCCCAGCCCCGGCGACGTCATTAGGTGGCGCCTGCAGCTGCTGCCGCCCCTGCTTCCCTGTGGAGCGTTGGTAAGAGAAAGAAAGGGCAAATGATCAAGGAAAGAATAGAGTTTCTGAGTTGGCTCTAGAAATGGGCATGGGTGGGTGGGTGGGACCTGACAGAGAGGCGGTTGCATGCAGAGTAATGATGTGCACACAGCAGAGGGACGACGCGGAGAGGGGAGAAAGGGCAGAGGGGAGAGAGAGGGAGGGGGAGGGGCGGAAGATGAATAAGAGAGAGGAAGAGCAGTAGGAAGCCGGAGGACATAAGAAGCCTCGGTCACTCACTCACTCACCCCGTGCTGACGGTAATAGCTAGAACCAGCGAAGCGAGAGTGCCCATGTACTCGCGGTGGCATGATCGCATGTGCTGACGGTGGCATGATCGCATGTACTCGCGGTGGCATGATCGCACCATGCGCACCGTGCTGTGCGCCAGGGACAGGCCCCCACTCTCCCCCTCCCCACCTGCCTTCACAACCCCACAACACCTCCATTTTTACCCAGATTTTCGCCTGCCTTCCGCACACTGATAGGGCAGTGTTCCTGCCTGGTCCCAGACGACTCACTCACCCGGTGCTGACAGTGATCGCGAGCACAAGCGAGGCGAGCGTGCCCATGTTGGACATGTACTCGCGGTGGCATGATCGCACCATGCGCACCGTGCTGTGCGCCAGAGACAGGCCCCCCGGCAGCGCGCCCTGCTGCAGCACGTCCACCCCCGCCGCTTTGCTGTCCACTATCATGCGCACCCTGTTCTCCATGAACGTGCGGCGTGCCATCTGGGGGCAAAGGGGGAAAGGACGAAGGTTCAACCAGGGGAAGGGGAGGAGTGGGGGGGGAGAAGGCCCTGATGCAACACGTCCACCCCCGCCGCCTTGATGCCCACATTCATGCGCACCCGGTTCTCTGTGAACGTGCGGCGCGCCATCTGGGGGGAGTGAGGGAGGTTGGAGGAGGGAGGGGGGTTAGACAGCTGCCTTGCTGTCCACTATCATGCGCACCTGGTTCTCCATGAATGTACGGCGCGCCATCTGGGGGCAAAGAGGGGGGAGAGGACGCAGGTTCAACCAAGGGAAGGGGAAAGGAGGGGGGAGCGGAAAGTGCCGCAACACGTCCACCCCCGCCGCCTTGCTGTCCACTACCATGCGCACGCGGTTCTCCATGAAAGTCCGGCGAGCCATCTGTATGTGGGACTGGAGGGAGGAGGGCGGATGAGAAGCAGCAAGGGAAGAGGAGAGGCAGCGCGCCCTGCTGCAACACGTCCACCCCCGCCGCCTTGCTGTCCACTATCCTGCGCACGCGGTTTTCCATGAAAGTCCGTCGCGCCATCTGGGGGGGAAAAAGGTTGAGCCAGCTTCGGTCAGTCTCAGTCAGTCTCTTTCTTCAATTTTCTCTACCAGTCTCATTCTCAGTGACTTCAACAATCTGAGCCACTAAGACAGTCCCATTCTAGAACAATAAAGTATGACTCCATACAGTCATGACTCCAAAATTTCATGTTTCCATACTGTCTGTCATAAGATAATGCAGTCACGCCATGCCACCACAGCGTTGATAATAAGGTCATGAATCCACAGCAGCACAAGCTAATACTTTCACAGCTCCAGGGTCTCATTTCATGGACGACTCCGCATCATCCACCGGCCACACTCAGTCACTCTGTCAGACTTAGTGAATCTCAGTCAATCTCAGTCACTCTCAGACTTAGTGAATCTCAGTCAATCTCAGTCATTCTGTCAGACTTAGTGAATCTCAGTCAATCTCAGTCACTCTGTCAGACTTAGTCAATCTCAGTCAATCTCAGTCACTCTGTCAGACTTGATCAATCTCAGTCAATCTCGTTCACTCTGTCAGACTTAGTGAATCTCAGTCAATCTCAGTCACTCTGTCAGACTTAGTGAATCTCAGTCAATCTCAGTCACTCTGTCAGACTTAGTCAATCTCAGTCAATCTAAGTCACTCTGTCAGACTTAGTCAATCTCAGTCAATCTCAGTCACTCTGTCAGACTTAGTCAATCTCAGTCAATCTCAGTCACTCTGTCAGACTTAGTCAATCTCAGTCAATCTCAGTCACTCTGTCAGACTTAGTCAATCTCAGTCAATCTCAGTCACTCTGTCAGACTTAGTCAATCTCAGTCAATCTCAGTCACTCTGTCAGACTTCGTCAATTTCATCAATCACTCTGTCAGACTTAGTCAATCTCAGTCAATCTCTGTCATTCTGTCAGACTTAGTCAATCTCAGTCAATCTCAGTCACTCTGTCAGTCTTAGTCAATCTCAGTCAATGTCAGTCCCTCTGCCAGTCGTGGTCAATGTCATCTCAGTCACTCTGACAGTCAATCTCAGTCAGTCTCAGTCACTGTTAGACGGTATAATACACTCTCAGCCACTCTCAGTCACTCTTGCGTGCAGTGGACTGACAAGCACAAAATCAAAAAGCGTGCCGAGTGGATGAGGCCTCGAAGTTGACATTCGACTGCATCTGCTGCATCTGCTGCATCCGCCCACCTGTTTTGTACTTCAGACAGGCGTGCGAGAAGAGATGCAACTTCCCTCTTTCCTCCTCCTCCCCCACGGACCTGACGCATGCGCCACAGTTGCCAGCTGCTCCTACGGATCTGTTCTCGAGGCCCGCGTGAGTGGTGAGGATACCTGCAATGTAACTTCGCGGCTCAGGTTCGAGTAGCCAGACCACAGTGGTTTGGAACCCACCGAACCTGGTGACATAGGTTCGCCGAACGAAAAGACTTTGGGCAGCATCGCACCCCCGAAAGTTGGGCAGCGGAACAGTTCCCTTTGTCGTGTCGCCGACTTTTTGGCGTTCCAAATTGGAAGTTCCAACGCGTGAACAAGAACGAACGAGCGGCCCCCAGTTGACTCTAAAACTCCGTAGGTGTGCTGCCTTGCTTGCCAGCCGAATCAGCACTGGGAGACAAGAAGAATCCACACTGGGTGGAATGAACCCAAACCGGGACTGCTGGCTGTGACACAGCTTGTGCCTTGGTGCTAGGTTTGGAGAAGTGTTGGTTTGCCACTAGCGGAGTTGAAGGATGGTGCTGGTTTGGTAGGCAAAATTCGGTCCGGATCTCTAGACGAAACGGGCCCCTCATTTCGAATCGAACTGGACGAGGAGGGTTTTCAAGCCCTCCATTCTGTTTGGCAAAATCTGCAACAAAGAAAATGCGCCAATGACTGGCTTTCCTCTCTCGCTAGTAGAATCATTGTGCTGTAATTGGGATGATGAAGGAAGGAAGTCCAGTGTAATTCTGGCCGTTGGTGGACACTCCGGCTCTGGACTGGAACATGCACCAGCGAGCAACGGAAAAAACTACTGAGCAGCAGCGAGTTTAATTACTTCGAAGAAACTAGCCTTTCAAGTATGGTACTCCAACAAGCAATTTTAGCGAGTCCCGTCCCAGAACATCCAAAGCTGTGGTGGTTTCAACCACCAAGTGCCTCTCCTTTTAGCTGAATGACTTCCAGTGAACACCCTGTTAAGATCAACAGGTCCTCACTCACCTCAGGGGTATTTCGTGTCACCGTAATGTAAGACTCCAATCTGCAGGATTCTGTAAAATAAATCTACAACCGAGTTACTTTCGCACCGCCATAAATTCAAAATCTTCAGAAACGACAAGACAAATTCCTCATGCCTGTTATTCAGAGATAATATGCGGTTCTCAGTAACAGCAGGCTCGATATCACTTCCAGTCACAATTGCTGTTGATCTCTCACAAATAATGAGGGTAGTGTCTTTCATTCCTACTTTAGTAGGATATTACATACCCGTAATCAATCAGAAGATTGCTTTCCCTTTTTCTTTCATTATGTTACAATCCCATGGTGGACTTTGCCAGGATCATCAGAGTTGATTGCAGAGAGATATTGCAGTGGAAGTGATTGACCTCAGATCAGAGTGAAATTAAAATGATTGAAGTGACTATAACAATAACATACATGGGTTTAAATAAAAATACGAAGGAATACGAAAAGTCCTCACAAGCCATGTAATCCAAGGGGTACATTCCTTTACCGTCATCGCCCGGATATAAGACAGTGTTGAATAGAAGACATGGGTGTCTTTAATACTGGTATTTTCTTAAAATCGGAAGTTCAGATTATAAGAGACTCTATGAACGATATGGGATAAAGCATCTTATCTAGCAGTCTTAAAAACAATATCACAAATTCACTGCCACCATGCACAGATGACCACATTTCCAGAAGCTGCATACTTGCTGCCACGCTACCAGGTTGCTGCATTGCTGGGGTGCACCCTTGTAATATTGACTTGCGTTCTGTAAAGTGTCTGTGGAGGTCAAAAATTTCGCCCAAGTAACGTCATTTGCTCACTTGTAAGACACATCCTGATCATGCATAATTTCATAGTAAGTAAACATTCCCGTTTATAAAACTTGTTAGACACCCTGAGAGTTTCTTTTCCAAGATAAACATCAAATTCTCAAGCCGATATTGGATAAGACTGTCAAAACATATTTGTATGTTCCTAGTTCTGCTAGGTGTCAAACTGCATTTGTGCTTGCTAAGCTGTCCTGGGGTACACCATAAGAGGTACAACCCCAATTAGGTCTAGCACTTGTACACAACCAGGCCCTACGATATCAGGAAATTTTCCCTGAAATTCCTGATTTTCAGGGATTTATTTGTACCTACCCTGATTTTCCAGTGTTCAGCTTTTTGGGGGACTGATTTTTCAGCCTTTAGGGTCCAGATGACTCTGAACTTTCAGGTGTTCTTTTTAAGGGACACTGATTACACTACGTTGTAACGAAACTGACACTGAATGCGATTCCTACACGTTCCGAGTGTAGTGTTGGTGCAACCCTACGGTTTGCACTCGGCTTGTTGTCCGTGTGCGTGAATGTGTGTGTGTATGGAATGGTATGAGGGCATGGGATAATATATATTTCATGCTTATAATTGTGTGTGAATGTTGAGTCATGATGTCGAGTGTGTGTGTCGAGTCAATAGCGAGTTATCGCTAGACGCGTGTTACGCGGTCGTTTGTGTCTCGCGCGCGGTTTCTATTTTGTCGTGCGCGGTTTCTATTTTGTCCTGTGTCGAACGTTCGGCGTGTCGCAGGTGTGTGCAGCAGACCCATCAAGAACTCAAGGATGAGTTTGTGATGAAGAGCCCGAGCCTTGGTGTCAAGCCTCAAGTGATTTCGAAGCTCGCCAAAAAGGGTACACCTCAAGATATTGAAGATAGTTACATTACTTTGTGTAGTGTAACATTTCACTTGGTGTAGGCCCTAGTGAAGGGTAGTTTCGAGACCCTTTGTGGTTGGGGACAGTGTGGCACTGTTCCACATCACTGTACCTCGGCTCTTGGGGTTTGTAGGAGCTGGGAGTCATTCCCAACTCGTAACTCTTCCTATCTTGTGTTCTAAGACTATAGTGGCTGCCATAGTACCGTTCGTTCAAACCGACGCTGTGTCGTCAATTCTTTATCAAATCGTGCAATCTAAATTGCTAATTGTAGACGACGTGAAGACGCTCCAGATCCAATTCGAATCAAGTCATTTGCAGCTGTGAGCAGAACGCTATCAACGTTTGAAACCGCTGTGCAGAAATCCGTCTGTGCTCTCTATCTTTCGTTTTAGGCACATTCAAGCCTATTGTGACTATAACAAGTGGTATCAGAGCCCCTTGGAGCAGTTTCGACAATGTCTGGACCTGAGGAAAGGGGTGGCAGAGGTGCTGGTGGCAGTGGAGAAGCTCAAGCTCAAGGCCAACCCCGTGATTCAGCCATGGCGCCCATGCAACCAAGTCTTGGCCCACCTAGGGATGAGCCTAGGGTGTTTGGGCTTGACAAGTTCAACGGTGACAACTTTGCTGAATGGTCCTTCAAGATGGAGAACATCTTTGACCACTATGACCTGCTGGAGGTGATGGAAGGAACGGAGAAGCGCCCCGAGAACGACCCGGAGAAGAGCCCGTGGGTGCGGAAGAGCGCACAAGGCTATCTCTTACTTGGGCAAGCGTTGGGGAGCAGTCAGATCCGTCACATCAAGCCATTCCAGCGTAAACCAGAGAAAGGACCAAAGGCATGGGCTGCTCTCAAGGGTGTACATGCTCCTGCAACAGCGGCGGTAGCGGTGGTGTTGGAACGGCAAATGGCGGCACTACGAATTGAAGAAGAC